ATCGCAAGGCCCATCGCATTCAAAGGAGTAGAGAAAGCTGTTGCTGGGGAGTATCGAAGTCACGTTCTGGAAGAGCATACGGGATGGAGATTTTGTTGTGACCATCCTTGGAAAATACATGCTGGCCACAACAACATTTATTTGCAAACTATATTCACTCCCTGCATCAAGACTCCCCAAATCCATTCCATGTTTGCATCACATTTAACAATCACTGTCCCGTAACACTTCTAAAATGCAGTTGAACATAGGTCTGCCATTCCTTGATTGGGGCACAGTTGTTTCTTGGGAGTGATTCTGTGTGGTTCTTTCCTAACTCTGCCTTCTGGGTTCTTCGCTCTGCATTGAGTCATTCTTCCCTTTCCACAAGAGCTGATATATGTTTGCTGTGGAAGGGCTTTCTCAGATACTTCCTGCTAAGAGAAACTTGAGATTATTGACTTTTCTTTTCATTTTGAACTGTTTCTTTTTTTTATCCAAGTGGATGGTGATTCTGCTAGTACTGTTGTTTTAAAATGCTGTGCCTTTTCTATGAATCTTATTGTGGTTTAGTCCATTAGACAGAAGTCTTACTCATAAATCTCTTTGAGACAGGCTCTTCTTTGCCTTGGGTTGCTTATAAGTCTGCTGTGGTACAATACCCTTAAGATTCTTACACTGTTAATTTAAGCAACATGGTTCATAAGACACTGCTTTAAATCTTTCTGAGGTTACAGCAAAAGTCTTACAGCCACACACTTGTAACTACCCTGAGACCATATTTTACTAGAACCATCTTGAATTTGATATTTGCTTTAAGGCCATTTTTACTTTGAGAATGTTTTGCTGGGAGAAATTGGAGAAGAGAAATAGTTTTGGTTTTGATTCAAGGTATGACTCTTTTATATTTCCTCTAAATTCTGCTTGAAAACGGAACAGTTTCTTCTTTAGTTCATCTCTCTCTATCTGTATCTTGTTATCGAGACTAAAAGAAACCAGTTGGCAGTGTCAGCATTCATCCTGGAAAACCCCCTTGCCAGATTCGCCTTTTGTATTTTCCATGTTATTGCAGGTGACAGTTTTAACTGAACTTTATGCCACTACATAACAGGTGTCTTTTCTACAGCCTCCAATAACAACTTCCTCCCCGTTAGTCCAGCCTCCACTAACAATTCTCCCTGAGGCCCTTCAGGTCTCCACTCACTGCCTGGTCTTGATGCCACAAATTTCTGTTCTGATTATCTTTTGTTGTGTAAAAAACTTAGTGGCTTAAAACAGTCTTTATAAATTTTACATATTTTTTGGATCAGGAATTTGAATGGGCTTTGTTGGGTATCAGCTGGGGCTGCTGAGGCTAAAGAATCCACCTCCATGATGACTGCTTCATTCCCAGGTCTGGAGCTTAGTGCCCCTTGACCTCAGTTTTTTTTTCCATGCAGTGTCTTATCTTTTAGGGCTTCTTCTTGTTGCATGTTGGTCTCAGGGTAGTTGCACTGCTTCCATGATGGCTGGTTTCCAGGAGGGAGCTTTGCAAGAATGAGTGATACAAGACTGAGAGTTCCAAGAGACAAGAAGAGAGTTCAGGCCAGTTAAGGGCTAGTGCCCAGCACTGCCACGCTGTCATTTCTGCCATTTTCCGTTTATCTAAGCAATTAGAGAGGAGGACTCACCCATAATCAGAAGAGTAGAGGTAGTGGCAAGATCACGTTGTAGAAGAGCATGCGGATGGGGAGGTACTATCGTAAAACATCTTTGGTGCTGTTACAGGGATGCAATTTCATTTTTCCCAAATGGATATCCAGTTGGACCAGAACTCTTATTGAACCATCTATACTTTCTTATTGATCTGTAATGTCTGTTCTGTCATCAGTCAGATTTCTAAATATATGTGTGTGTTTGGTTTGGATTGTCTGTCTATGCCCGTGGTTTTCAACTGGGAGCCATTTTTCAGGGGACAACGAAGACATTTTTGGTTGTCACACTTTGAATGGGATGCTACTAGCATTTAGGGGATAGAGGCCACGGATGCTGCTAAACATCCTGCAGTGCACAGGACAGCGTCCCACAACAAAGACTCATTTGGCCCCAAACGTCAGTAGTGCTGAGGTCGAGAAACTATGGCTTGTGCCATCAGTATTACCCTACCATATTATCTTATCTTAATTAGACTTGCTAGCTGGTAGGGCAAGTCCCCGCACTTTGATTTTCTTTTTTAAGAATGTCTTGATTATTTTTAGCCCCTTGCATTTCCATATAAATCTTAAATCAGTTTATCATATTTCATGAAAAACTCTTTATATTTTGATTGGAATTTCACTGTAACTCTATATCTTTATAAGGAAAATTGACATTTTATGATATTGAATCTTCTTATTCACCAACATGATGTATTTTTCTATCAACTTAGTTCCTTAATGTCTTTTAATAAAATTTTATAACTTTCTTATTAAAGTGCTTGCAAATCTTTTGTGCAAGATTTCCTCTCTTGGCCAGTTAGTTGTGAGACTTTTAATATGTTGCTTTCCTCCTTTGGGTCTTAATTCCTCCAAGGGAAAGTGTGACATTTGTTCTAGACCATCCCTAACAAGCTTTCAAGGCCAAGATGACGTGGTTAAAATATTAGAATTAAATTGAATACTTTCAATGCACAAAATAAAAGTAGTCCACTAGAGAGAGCTCTTCCGCATTTCTTCTCCGGCCAGGTTGCCAGACTGCTGTGAAGAAACCACATCTGCTATTGATAGCTGCAGATGTTAGGCAAAGACCTCATCTTCTTAGGGTGGAGGAAGAAAGCGACTGTCTGGGATCTTTCCTGTCACAGTTCTCCACATAGGAAATTCAGCTTTGGTCTTTGGAAGATACTATAATTGACCCTTGAACAATTAGAGGAGTGCTGACGTCCTTTCACTCGAAAGTCTGTATAACTTTTGACTCCCTCAAAACTTAACTATAGTTATCCCTCAGAGTCCATGGGAGATTGATTCCAGGACCCCTGCAGATAACAAAATCTGGCGATGCTCAAGTCCCTCATATGAAATAGCACAGATAAATTCATACAGTTGGCCCTCTGTATCCACAGATGCAAAAGTATCTTTCAGTTATGGTTGGTTGAATCCACAGATGCAAACCCAGGCATATGGGGGCGACTGTATATTTACTGAAAAAAATTCATGTGTAAGTGGACCCATGGAGTTCAAACTAGTGTTGTTCAAGGAGCAACTATACTTGTTTCTGGGTGTGGAAATTCAAGAAACACAACTTGAATGTAAAAGGAAATTTATAGGTCATCCAATTTAATTCTTTCATTTGACAAATGAATAAACTGTGATTTAGAGATGCTGTTACTTTCCAAAGGACCTACAGTTTGTGAGAAATTCAAGGTTTGAAACTTAGGCCCACACATTTTCACACTAGTTTAGGGAATGGGGAGGGGAGGGTAAGCAGTGGGCAGTGGGTATTAGTGGTGGGGCAGGGGGTCGGGATTGTGTTTAATTTTTAAAGGACTGAAAGGTGGGTGGTCTGTGAATTCCCTGGAATTATATTGCAGTATTACATGTGAATGTGAGAGTGTGTGTAGTGACTTTGTGTGTGTGCGTGTGCATGTGTACACTCATACATGCTATACTTTGGCTAGAAATAGGACTTTTGTTGTGATTATTGGCTTCTAAGAAACAGGGTTGAATTTTTCTCTAAGCCAGCCTCTACTTACAAACTGGGATAACTTTCACTGGCTTCAGAATTTCATTTAATATATAGTTTGGAATCATTTGGAAATAATCATTTGGTAGCTTAATACCAAAAATTTAAGCTATCTTTCAGTTTATCTTTATCTGATTTAATGATTTCCAGACCTCATTTTTTTCTTACTGACTCAAAACTGACCTTTTGAAGTGCAATCATTGAATATTCTTTTCAGAGAAGATGAAACTCAACTTCTCTCCATCAGTCATCTGTTTTTTCAAGTCTATTTTGACTGTTTCTGAAACATTTTTCCATAGTACTCTTATTATTTGTGATTCTCCTGATTCATCCTGATAAAACTTTCTTTGTAAACTATAGACATTTTAAAATTTTTTATTTCTGCATTTGCATTAGGAATAAATTCTTTATCAATCATTTGAATTATTTTTCTTGTGGATATCATAAACAAGATTTTAAGCTTTTATTTTGGCTTGATAAAAAATTAACAGTAAGAACTAGAGTTCTTGCATTGCTTTCTCAATGTAATGCAGTGCAGTGTATTGTTTTCTAACAAGCTAATAGAAAAAGATCCTCTGAGAAAAATATGTATTTAATTACCTTTCTCTTCTTTATTGCATATGGTCTAGATCAGCTTCAAGAGAGTTAGATTGTATTTAAGCCTCAATGTATGAGTCTAGGAGTGATACATCAGAGGGATAGGAAGAGTGAAGGAGTACTGAAAGGCAGAATAAGGATATTGGACAGCTTTCTACCTCTTCCAAGATGGATTTCTCGACCAAAGGCAATCTTAGTGTGTTGAGTGTTCTATGGAAGGAGGATTAATCTTCATTGGAAATAGTTACAAAAATGAATATTAGGTCAAATAATTTGTATGCTAATATACTCTTCCTCAGCAAATATTATTGAGGACTTATCAATAATTTCTCTTTGCATACCTACCATCTGTAAATTTCAGCTAGGGTTATGAGACAGTAAGGATTCGCGCTGGGTGAAAAAAGTGGCTTACCCAAGAAACATCCCATTAAGAACACATTTAATCATGAAAGTCAAATGATAAGAGAACAGGTTTTATTTACTTAAATGCCACATGTTTGATTCCTATTTTTCTTCATAAATGTTATTTGATGGGCATGATGAATGAATATGTTTAAAAAATCATATATTGTTGGGTACAGTTAGCTATGCATAATGATTTGATTAAGTACGAATTCATTTATTATCTGAAGTTTGCTTTGTATAAATTCTCAGGGATATAAGAAGTGGGGACTATTGTTAAAATATCTGTCTTCTACTGACTGTAATTTTCTTCTTGGTTTTAGATTTCCTTCTTCTTCACCCCTGAAACCATATCCAAAGAGGCCCCCATACCGAAAGGATGTTATTAAGTTTCCAGAATGGAATGACCCTCCACCGGGCACATCACAAGAGAATATCCCAGTGAGGCCAGTTGTGATGGTGAGTGCCATTACTAAAAGACTGAGGGCTAGCAGCAGGGAGAAATAAGTATTAGTCTGTGAACACCAGGCTTAGCCCAGTTCTTTCTGTCAGTTCCTTATGAACAATCATCTGAAAGTGCTTCAAGACAATAGCTTACCTGTCAACAGCTGAGAGACCAGAAACAAAGAAAGACTGGCTTTTGCATTATTTCAGTCTCGCCAATTGATATTTTGGCTGAATATGTGGTAACTGTTTTCATGTGTTGCAAGCAGTTTTCTGTTAAAATTCCCTTATAATCTCCTTTTTCTTTCCGTTTTATAATTTACTCTTTTCCTTCTTTGTCTCCTCCTCCTAAACTTTGTTATAATTATTACCACTTGAGAATGAGAAGGTTGGGGCATGGAGTATTATGGAATGAGCCCTACAATAAAATATGAACAAAGGTGGATTCTACTAGTCTTGGGAAACCCAAGCTCGTTGTAGGATAAACTCCTTTTGGGGAGGCATACTTTTTCCTTAAAACATCCTCAGTAGAAGACTATCAAGATTGAAATAATGCTAAATAATAAAATACAGAGAAAAACTCTTTTATGGCAGTTTTTAATAATTGTACTAACACTAATATTGTAAGTTAATTTAGTCTCATAGGACTAGATGTCCAACTCAGACTTTTGTTTGAAAAGATTTGATGAAACATTTTTAGGCAATGTAATTAAAAATAAAAAATTTCATCTGAAGAGGCTGTATTATATCTCAGTTTGGCGAGAATAGTTAAGCAGCTTAGGCTTTATCAAAGATAAGTCAAGAAAAAGAATGGCACTGGGACAGAAGTGGGGACTCCACAAGAGCTTGCAGATTTGTCAGGGACAATGATGAATTTGGTTTTAAATGTGTTTGATGATAAAGTTGGGTTGTATTAAATGGAAGTGTCTAATAGGCAGATGGAGATAAATGCTCTGGAACTTAGAGGAGAGGTCACGTTTGGAAGTCAGCAAAGATTTATTGTCTCCTGCGTGCCAAGCATTGTGCTAGGCTCTGCAGATACAGTAATATGTGATACAGTTTTTGGTCTAAAAAGGCCCATCGTCTGGTGTAGCATACAGTACAAAAATCGATAATTAGAAAACAAAGTGGAACTACTCTGATGAAAGAATGAGCACAAAAGGGGTTTGAGGACTATTTAATTCATTACTAATGAGGAGTACTTAATTAAGGTTTAGTGATAGTTTCTCTCCTAGAGAAAATTAAAATATAAGTTCCATAAGATAAGGTACACTTTTTTTGCACATTCATATTTAGACACTTAATATGACCTCATCAGTAGAGTAGTTATTCAACAGACTTTTTTTTTATTATAAGTTCACCCAGTGTTGTTTATACAAAAAACATAAAATCTCATATTAAATTAATATATATGTATTTTATCAATATAATAACTTCCTTTTTCTATTCTATTTAGTTATGGGAAGTTGTAATATTCCTGGTATTACTGTTAGGAAAACCAACTGCTCATTTGCACACTTTAATGCACTGATGACAATGACTTTCATCTTCCATTTTCAGTTTCAGAATATTTTCAGGACTCCTGAAGTGGTATATCAGTGTCTTGATTCATCAACCATTCCCTCCACCCCCGCTAAGGTCTATCATTTTCCTGGTCATCTGTATCTACATTTCTTTTGATAATTTTTCTCATACTTCTTCCTTAAGTGAAGTGGTAGAGGTTTGAAAGCTCCCTGCTTGTTATAATTCCACTAAAGCCTAGACTCCTGCTTCTTGAGGATTGTCCAAAGAAAGAATGGCAGAGCAAGATCTGTTTCCTCAGTTTGGCCTTGGTATAGGTTTTAGACAGATGATGTTAATAGTCAGTAAAGAAACAGTTTATCTTTCTTAAAGAACTTGAGCTTATCATTCATTTCTTCTTTCTTACTTTCCCTCTTTCTGTCTCTGCCTCCACTGTGCTTGTTGGTTTTTATTTTTCTTTTGTCTCAACTTCTCTCTTGCCTACCCATTACGTCAAATAAATGAAATGCGTAAAATTATTTCTTGTGTTTGCCGTGGAAAGTGAGACTGTGGGCTCTGGAGCCAGACTGCTGGGTTTGAATCTTGGCTTCTCCACTTACCAGCTAACTGAGCTTGTTTCTCTGTTTCACTGTTTGTGTCTCACTTTTGTTTTCGGTGGAACTGGGATGATAATTCTTCTCTGGGGTAAGGTTGCTGTGAGAATCAAGTGAGTTCATATCTATAAAGTGTTTAGAATATGCCTGCCACACAGGTACTTGGTAACTTAACTACCGTTTCTGTTATTATGTATTTAATAGAATTGTTTATAGGCAGAGACAGATGAAAAAAAATTACCCATAATATCATCCAGAGAGAATTAACATTAACATTTTTCTTGTATATCCTGTCTCCCATGCATATTTTTAACACTAAAATGAGACCATGCTGAGCTTTTTTGTAACCTGTGTTCTTCACTTAGAACACTGTTATGCCCATTTTGTGTGTTATCAAACATTCAATATTATTTTAATAGCTGGACCATATCTAATAAAAAAGTAATATATTTTATTTATTAGAAGTAGATTTGCTAGGCAAATGCAACAACTTATATGCCTGCCTTGAAAAATAAACACCTAATTTAGATCCTTTAAAAAAATTCACAAACTCATGTGACCTTCGGCTTCTTTTGTAATTCAACAGTTCTCCAAAAATCAAACCAAAAACCAAATCAAAAAACAACTTTCCAGCTCCTTTTTTTCAAATCAATAAGATTTTTTTATAATGATGCTTTTGCAAAAAAACTACAGAAACTCTTCGTAAATGATTTCTCATGTTTTGCCTTTAAAAATTCAAAGCTTGTCTCTGTGATTACCAAAAGGAAGTTTTAAGACTATGTCTAGTAGCCTAAATGTGAGAAGGGAGACACTAAGAATGTGGAACTGGTAAAGCTGCGTGACTTTGAGCAAGTTATTTTATCTCTCCGGCATTAGTTTTTCTCCTTGCCATTTCCAGCTGTTCTGTGGAGCTCGTGTTTTACTTGCCTCCTGCAGAAGCCTACGATCTGGGTGCTGCTATCTAACATTGTACTTACTTGACTTTTGCTTACAGAAAATAGAGAATTCTTGAATATAATATAATTTAATCTTAAACGATCATTCAGTTTGGACAGGGTGTGAATTTGTGTAGGTATTCCTTGACTTAATTTTGAATTAATAAAATTTTATTTCATCGCTACTTCACTGATTAGTTGAAGCTCCCACAGGAAAAAAAATAGCCACTTAATGTCCTGCTTATTGTCATAGCTCCTTTGCAGTTCTTGAATATTCGCTTATAATATGACTTGATCTTTAAGAGTTATACTTTATTTCTCTGCAGCCCATACAAAAACGTTAGTTTATATTTCTTCTTCTTTAATATCAAATTACAATAACTAAATAAAAGAAATTTCTCTTTATAAGGTACATAAATGTCTAACTACTATGCTATACACCGGAAACTAATACACTATTGAATGTCACCTGTAATTGAAAAAAATGAAAATAAATAAAATGAAATAAAAATAAATATCTCTTAAACCAATAAATGCTGGAATTATGGGGGGAAACATACCTATAAAACTGTACCACTGTCTACTGAAATATTTATTGTCTCTCTTGCTCTCCCCCTCCGCCCCACCACCACCCTGTTAGAATTCTGAGATGTGGTACAAGCGTCACAGTATTGCTATTGGAGAGGTACCGGCTTGCCGTCTCGTCTGCCGCAGACAGCTGACAGAGGCCAATGTGGAAGAGATATGGAAGTCTATGACGTTATCATAGTATGTGCATTTGATATTGGTGAAATCTTTCAGTGGTTTATTTTTTAATTTGCTTCTCCCCTATTCTCTGCATATTTAATTTTTCTGAAATTATGTATAGAAATCTTGACTTTGATTGCATTATTTGCAGTTATGCTGCTTATCAAATATGATTTAACTGAATTCTGGGAATTTTCTGTTGTCATATAATGGCCAAGAATAGAAATTTGAAAGTTCTTAACTTTCTATTAACACCAAAATCTTAAGCTTAATGAAACACATAACAGGAAAATTTGATCTTTTAGGTTTTTGTTGTATGACAGGTAATTAAAGTTAATGATATAGCAAGTTATTTTCCCACAAAGATGTACTATTAGCAATTTCTCATTATTGGATAAACCAATTTTTGTTTCTGTGATATCTTTACTCATAAAATCATTTTTCTTGATATTCATTGTATTACGTTATTAACTTAGTGAAGCAATATGATAATTGCCAAAGGATATCTTTTAGGTTTGTTCTGTCATTCTCAATATCTAGTTTTTTTGCCCCACAAAGATTGGGTAAAATGTATGAAAACAATGCATTTTAAAGATTGATCGTTTAGTGTGCCGGGTTTTTGGGTAAGTAATGATTTTTTAAAAATTAATCTAATTAATTATTATTTGCCTTTTAGTTTACAGAAAATCCTTGGCTTAGATTCTTTAGAAGAAGTTTTAGACGTTAAACTTGTCAACTCCAAGTTCATCATCCATAATGTATATAGTGTGAGCAAGCAGGGAGTTGTTATCCTTGATGACAAGTCAAGTAAGTGCACAAAAATCACTTGGTTTCTAGTTGACTCAATATGTTGGCTGTACAGGTCTATCGCCTTCTATTTGACTCTTCTCTAGGTCCTAAATAAATTTGCCCTCTCATTAAATATAGCATTCTCTCAGTTCCTAATACCTCTTAACTAATTGTCTAGATTAAAGAAATGTTATAGAAAGATAAATATTCTGGAGTGAAAACCTCAGCAGAATCCATCCAGAGGCTAGTTCAGTGTTAGCCACACTGGGCACGAAGTGGTTCTATATTATCTCTGGAAAATCTCTAAAGAACGAGTAGGTTTAAGACCTAACGGAGAGCTTGAGTCACTTTTTAGGTGGGTCCCGTGGTATGATTGATTTTAAGTTCTCATGGACCTTTTTATTATGATGTCTCTGTGTCAGGTTTTCTGGGATGCTCTTGGTTTATGTCATTTTTTTCTTTTTAATAAAAGTAGCTCTTTAAATGTTGAAGGTGCTTTAATTTTTTTTATACCCTTTCTTCCGAGCCAGTTTACAAATCAGGAAGAAAAGCATTTAGCAGCCACCTATCTTGGTTTTTCATTTGTGAAAATATAGTCAACATACCTGTAAGTGGGTCAGAATCCTCAAACTGATTATATAACTTCCTTCCCCTAAATAAGGGATGGGTTAGAATTGAAGGGGCTCTTTGATTGCTTCTTCCTTTCTTCACACCCTTGATTTTGGAAATTAGCTGAAACTAGATGACTTTTGGATGTGGGAAGTTGGCATGGTACTTTTGGATTCTTATAATTTATTACTAGGTTTTGGACTGAAGCCTCCTGGGCAGCAGACAGAGCTGTACCAGAAAGAGCCTGAGCAGTGGAGAGAGAGGAAGAGGTTTCTCTAGGCCCTGTTTCCGGACAGGAGTAGAATGTGTCATTGAAATCTGAAATGTTTCCCTTTTATAGCCCCTGAATCAGGAATGGAGGACATCAGGAAACAAATAGATTTACAACTTCATAAGTTTTCTGGTTCATGTCAACATATAAATTAAATTACATAAATTGAGGGCGGTGTCGCCTTTGTAATACATCAAAAATTCTTCTCTGTCTCTGAGTACAGCAAACATTAATACTTTTAGCTACCAGTTAGGTGACCAAACATCTTTTATCTTATTAAGTAAATTTTTCAGGAAGGAAAGAGACTCTACCAAAGGGCTCGGCTGGACTTCTTGTAGCAATGTTAACCATTATTATTTTAAAGCTATCTTAGTACAACTAGCTTATACTAACATGTCAGAACTTCGTTGCCCTAAAACATTCTGAAAAGTGAAACATATAAAATGATTCTTATATTGGACATTGGACATACAGAATTTACCTTTTATTTTTACTTTTTATTTTTTTTTTTGGTATTTGGTGAACTGGTTTCACAAATGCATTTGATGACTAATATTTTTGCTATTTCTGTTGTTCTTTGTCTTCTATAATTCTTAGGGTAATAGATTTGTTTGTTTGTTTCTTTGGAACAAACTATCAAATTTCTTCTTTCTACTAAAGCTTTAAAAAGTGCATCTTGCCCTTACAGAATTTTGCAGGCACGATTTATACAAGTACATGTTGTAACACTGCTGCTAAGAAAAATTTTCATCTTTTAAATATTTTGACATATAAATAGGTGATTTGTGATTAGCAGATATGTTTTATATTACTTGGATGAAAACTACATTCTTATGATACCAACTCTATATGTAATTCCTTGAGTTATATGCAGTTGAATAAAATATGTTTTTATTTTTACTTTTCTGCAGAAGAACTTCCTCATTGGGTGCTGTCAGCAATGAAGTGTTTGGCCAATTGTAAGTACTAACTATCGTCCAATTTCATGAAATTAACTGAAATGAGTGTACTGAATTAGAAAATATTTTCACATAATGGCCTGAACATTGATTTGACACCTGTGAGACTGGCAGTTAATTGTTTTGGGATTACTGTACTTTTAGTGATAAATTTGTGACTTAGTGAAAGGGCTGAGTTATAGAACGTTTTTAAAAGAATTTTGTGCTTCCATTTTCTAGTGCATATAATCACACTGTAGATAAAGTCCACGCTACTTCTTCTGACTGCTTCATTAGAGGAAAGAAAAATTAGTAATATTGCATGTAACATTGTTAATAGTGTGTATATAGGCTTTTATTTCTAAAACCTATATTTTTATTCCTAAAACATGTATTCTTAAGTATGTCCTATATTTACATCATCAGTTTGCTCAGCAGATTCTGTCTGCTATTGGATTTTTATAGGGCAGTAGTTTAAGTGGGAGAGAAATGTTTTAAAGACTAATCTAACTGGCATGCAGGATGGTTTGGAAGAAGGACCTACATGCAGAGAAACAAGAAAGACTCTTAGTAATTTGGATTTAAGATAAAGGAGCTTGGACCAGAGTAATCCCTCTAAGGTTTTTTTCTTTGGCAGTTGAAATCCATCTGATAAGCATATGATATCCACTTTATTGGATGTCATAGGCACTGTGAAGGAATTAGTTATTATAGTATCTGCCTTAACACTACCATTTTTCTGGGGATTTTCAAAAGGCTTGACCCAAAAAAGGGATTCTAATGGCTAATGGCTTACCTCAAACAAGTGACTTTAATGAGAAGAATTGTAGTTATTTAAACTAACTGATAATGGTGATATTTGGTCTGCAGGGCCTTTTGAAGTCTCACAGATCACCTCAGAGAGGTAATTTCTTCCCTTTTGGGTGAGACTAGTATGTACAGAGATAGGTGTATAAATTCTTGAATTAGTAGATTCTGAATTATGTACTTAACTGAAATTAGTTTTTGTTTTTCTTTTAAATTATGGAATGAAACTAAAATGACTATTCAACTTACTGTGGGTGATGTTAGTGGTAATATATAGAAAATAATTATATATTATAATTCTGAATATGAATAGCAATATTGGATTGTGTGAAGCCCGGAGTTCTCTGTGTTTAACTATTAAAAATTTCTTTGGTTTTTTTTATTAATATTTTGGAAACTCTGAGATGTAGAGTGCTGTGGTTTTAGCTTAGGGAGTAATTTTTATTCTTGCTCAGTCATTTGAAATGAATTAAATTTAAATTATGTCCTTGGCCAGAGTTGGCAGAGACAAGATAGAAGGTATAAATGGCAAATTAAATTACCCATTTCTGAATTTTTGGAAAACCAAGGATTTGGAAGTAGATCAGCTGGAAATGAACAGAGGAAGTCATTATAACACATCTAGGCTATCATACGTTGTAAAGTATATATTAAGGTGTGTTTGTGATGTTGAATTTTCAGTGATGATCAAAATGTGTTGGTGAAGAGTATAGCTTTCCCTCAAGTAAGATGTATACGTAAAGCCACCACACTTTTGCAAAAAGGGTAGAATAACTGGAATTACTCATCAGTGGTGAGGAAAGCTGTGAGGAGCCACTTAGTTGTGTCTTCCACATGTATGAGGTAGAGGTATATTGGGTAGAGATTGTTGGGGATAGAGACATGTCTCACATGTAACAAGTGCACATTGCTTTACAGGTGGTTGGCATGTCTATTAAAATGCTTGTTTATGTGTCAAAGGAAAAAAGGTAGCCAAAGGGTAAGGTCAGCTTTTTGAATAGTTTTATAAAATTATTAACTTTTCCAAATTCTCATTGGCCCCCAAAATTACTTTGAGTCTGTCAAAGTCATGTCCTCTTCCTTATCCTTGTCTTTAAAGAGTCTAGATTCTCACTATAGTCATCTAATAGGGAATATCTGATTATGTGGCATTTTGAAGGCCTGTGCCTCCTTTTCTGTAAATCTACTGCTCCCATCTTTCCTTTAAGTCCACCTGTATTCATTATAGCCCATGTGCACATAGGCCTGGTACTTCATTGTTAGCTAGCCTCATGGTTAGCCATAGAATGAAGGACTGATGCTAAAGCAATACAAAACCAGGTTAACTGTGATTTTTTTTCTTCTTTGTGCATGTAGTTTGCAAGAATTCAATCAAAAATAGATACAAACAATTCTTTTCCAAAATCTGTCAGGAATAACATTTGTAAAACACTAGATTAAAAAAATATTGTGAAGTTCAAGATGATTAAGAAATTAAAGATCTTAGAAATATGGCCTCTTATAGAGCGCACTATGCACTGGCATTTTTAGGGAAAGTTGGTTTTTTTTTTGCATATTTTTAACAAGAATAATGAAATGTTCAAAGAGGGGTACAACTGCTTAGAATGAACTACATACTTATCCTGGGAGGGAGTAATTCAAGGCAAAGTGTGTTGCTTGCTGAGACGTATCAAACTAATTACAGTATTTCAATTGACTAAGCTTGCAGTATTTCAGAGGAAGAAACGAGCAAAAATGGTGGCTATGTTTGCTGCTAGATTAATGTGGCACCATTCATATAGATCTTTCAAAATTTTTATTATTTTAGTTAATCAAATTAAGTTATTTTATAAGAATTGTACAGAATATTAAAAGGTAAGAAGCATTTTAAAGAGACCAACAAGAAGCCGTATTTATAGTGTCCCAGTGGCCTTGAAATGTGAAGGCCTAGAATGCTTAATTGTCTCTTTTTGGTTTGATCCTTTCTCTTTAGTGACAACGATTCTGTAGGACGAATTTCCTTTCGGTTTTTACTGGCTTCATTTTCGTTCTCCTGAGGGTAGACATCTGTTTGGGTACAGTTGTTCAGTCATGTTTTCTGCTGGCCCAGACTTGGCCAGAGCTGTCATACTCCTTTTTTCTGTGCTGTGATGGAAATAGAGAAGGCTGCGTAAGCTGTTCCTCATGGGACTTCTATGGTCTCTGGATGGATCATTGGGGGGCATTTGCTGACAGCTCTCTAGAGAGCTAAGCATTTCTTGTTCCTCTTTGGTCCCAGATACAAGTGGATCTTTGCCTTGCTGCTGGCATAGGATATGGCTGGGGCCAGGTTTTTCTAAGCTTCTTAAAGTTACTCCAACTTTGCAGTATGACTCTTTTTGATGTACTATCCTTTGATGGTTGGTTGGGGATCAATATGAGAGTTTCATAATTGGAATGAAATATAAGACACAATGTAAAATCTTTGTTTCAGAATACCTTTAAGAAAAAGTATGAATTCTTATTAGTCTAAAGTAGTTTAGAGATAGAAATTGATTACTTCACTCAGCTCTGACTCTAGAATTCTACATATATAATGAAATGTTTTAAAATTGCTTTATAACTTGTCTGTTATACATGTGAGCTAATTGTTATTTTCAACTGTATCAAGACTAGGAAAATATTAAATATTTCAAAGAAAATTATCATTGTTTACATTTAATAAAAATGCCTTTTGGAAGGGCTGGGTTTCAACAAGTAGGTTTCTTTTAAAATGGAAGTAAGCCAGTGATTTTTCTCGTTATTTTATAATAGATTTCAACTTAGACATAAAGCGTATTTGTGTAAGCAAAATATGTCATGTCAATTTGCTTAATATCAATTTTTCCCATGAAAACTTTTTTTCTACCTTGAATATCTGTATACACCACACATACGCACAGAGACTAATACTTAGAGGTGGTTGTCCTGTTAATGTGTCTCTTTCTAGCTCTTTCTCATTTTCTTTTAACAGGGCCTAATTGTTCTGATTTGAAGCAGCCTATGTACTCAGGATTTGAAAAAGATGTCTTTAAAACTATAGCAGATTACTATGGTCACTTGAAAGAGCCCCTGCTTACATTTCACCTTTTTGATGCCTTTGTCAGTGTATTAGGTAAGTTGAAGTATAATGAGCACATAACCGCATTATTGACATTGAATCATTTCATTTTCACCATCTTGAGACTTCCGTTACTAAACTTCCATAGCGTTTTTGAAATAACAACTGATAGAGTGCTTGCCTAGTTGGTGTCCTGCTCTCTGAAGGAGGAAAAGAAAATGGTTAAGCTCTGTTATGAAACTCAAAGCAAGGAACAATAGTTTTTATTTCTTAAGAAAGAATAATACGTTTATGTCATTTCTGTATAAAAAAATATGAATTTATCAGCAAAGAAGAATGTAAACTTGACATTTACCGTTCATAAGTAAATCTACTGTGTTGAATATAACTTCATGAACAGTCAAGTATGGGAGATGTATTTTCTTTTAAAAATCTTTCTTTTTATAGAAGGGATAGATTTTTGTAGCACTATTTGTTATTTGTGACATGTAAAATATAGTAGCTTTATCATTCTCTAAAACTTGTTGCTATTCTTCACATAGGTTTATACTTCAAAATTTACATTGTCAAAGAAACATGATAAAAAGGAAAAAAAACCAATATAATTGCTATAGGTCTTTTTCATATTGTTCCTCTTCAGAAATCAGATTTTCCTCCTGCTGTTGTGATGTTGAATAGGTATTATTGTTTTCTTGTCAAAAGGTTTGCTTTATTGACCAAATCATTGTGTAGGTATCATATTGTGTTACGTAAAAGTGTAGGAATTATCATACTCCTGTATTTGAGTATTGTAAGAGTTAGCAGTCTTCTCTTTTTCTTCTCTTTCCTTCTCCTTCTTTCAGTCTTATTTTACTCTTGGAAAGTATGGATGCTGCCATTTTGTTATTTTATACCAACAAAATAAAGTATCAACACTATGTGAATAATTTACATGATATTACAGCACAGTACTTTAAAGTGTAAGACTTTGTAAGTTTTCTGATAATAAGAAACAAAATGCAACATTTATAAGTCACGTACATAAGAGTGAGTTTGTTTTCAGAGAGACCATATTGGGAACAAATGAAAGAATTAGGCCTATTACTAGATTTTGAGGCCATTGGGTCTGCTTGGTATTTTGTTTTCAACTGAAGAGGACTGGGGGCTTATGTACTTGTGACATCATGCCTAATAATGAATACTTCCTGTTATTTAATATATGTATAGACTGATTGAGTAGATTCTCATTATAGCCACTTACTGAAACATTATGCTACTGGTAAATGAAAAATTTTAAAGACTGGATTAAAAGTCACTTCTTAGATTTTCATCTCATTTTCCATTTTCAAAATGTCCTATTATAAAATTTTCTGATTTGGAAACAAAAGAACTTGAAGCTTTTGAAAAATGAATTCTAATTTGAATCAGTTATATTTATGATGTTACTGGTCTGAACTACCACAATTGTTCATTTTGAACTCAGCTAGGAATTAAAGCTGATTATATACGAATTGATGTTAGAGTCAGTCACCTTCTAAAATATTATCTATAGAGGGTTTAGGTTAGAGAGGATAGGTAGAATGGATAGGTAGAATGAAGGATAGGTAGAATGGAGAAAGATACGTAGAATGCACTTAGGTATCAACAAGAATAGACTATTGTGTTTAGGAGGTCACGATATAGTAACCTTCCCTGATCTACTCCTTAAATTAATATATTTCAGACACCCTGCATTGAAAACCATATCCTTATGTATTGAAAGAAGAAAGTCTTCTAGATTATGGAAGACCAGAATTTGTTTATATGATTAACAAAGATTATCTAATATAGCAATCCTGTTAAAGCCTGTGGGAGAAGATGTCATATCTAGAAACTACATTATCTACAAACCAGATGTATAGGTTGGATCTCAGTAGGGTTAACGCATTCCTTAAATCATTTGATTTCACTTTGAATGAAGTAGCATGCCATTAAATAAAAATATTTTAAAGTAGGTAATCAGTCTATTTTGTGTAGAAGCTAAAAATTCTACAGCGTTTTCAATGGAAATTTTTTCAGTTTAGTTAATGAAGTTCTTTTGAGATCTATTCTTTTGCTTCTAGCATGAAATCATGCTAGCTCGATGCCAAAGCTGTGACCCTGCAAGCAGTTAGTCATCATTGATACATGAAATAGGACATCTAAGAATTCTCAAAGGAAAAAAAAAAGACATCTTTGGAGATGTAAGATTTATTCTTTACTTAAAATTTAAAGCAAATGATTTAATTTAGTTCGTCTGGCCTAACTGTTCGTAATAATTAATCTTCATTTCCAAAATGGCAGTTCCTTGTATTAAGATCAGAGTTCGTCTGACTCTTGAATGCAGTGAATGAGATAGTATAGCATCCTTTATTCACACTCCACACACACCCTAGAATCTGTGTAGCTTGCAATGATTTGGCATATTGAGGAAAGGGTTAGGCAGATAGGAAGCACAATAGGTCATAGGAGTAGGGAAGAGTGATTTGAAAAATTGAGCGATTTGTAGGTTGTGTAATGTTAAAATCTGAGATCCTACTCTGGTGATCTGTGGCCCAGATCTGGCTTATAAATACATCTGGTTTGACCTGTGTTTTTTTATTGTCTCATTTTTTTTTTTTTAAGTATATGTATATGTGCTGCTGAAGCAAGCATGTGACCTGTGTGTTTTTAAAAGAAATTTAATTGCCAAACTCTGAAAAACAGGAAATTCATATAATAATTTATAATTTTGGCTTCTTTAGAAAAACTGGAAGATCTGACAGTTTTGGGCTTGAATTTTCAGTGGCACAGACTGCTGCAGCTGTGTAGTGAGTGTTTCCATTAGGAGCAAGTGTTTCAGGGACATGAACTTCAATTTGCCAAGTCTCCAGTGCTCCCCATTGCTTCTCAGATGCACAGTTCACATGACCCCCTTAGCTCAATTATTTCATTTGTCTGCTCCTATAAGCGTTGAGCTTGCAACTCCTGATTTATTTGCTAGTGGACTGGAAGACTGAGATAGAAGCTTTTTGCTGTTCCATTCTGAATGTTGGTTTAGAAAATGCCATTGAAATTCACAAAATTGTACACTGGATCATCTTGCTCAATAGGCTGAGATCTCCTCTTGTGTTTTTTAACCTAGAAGCATCCATAAGGTTAGGTTTTCTATTCTTTGGTTCTTTTGTATGGTTACTTCTAGGAGATCCTTTGGAGATGTGCACCATCTTTGCCTTGCTACCTCTCTGCCTATACATTCTTCACATTATCATGAGGTCTGTATCCCATGATAATTTTTAAGAGAAAACAGTTTTTTTTTCCAGAGAGTTCCTAGTTTGTGCACTTGTCTAGACAGAGAGCTCTTGCTCATGTTAGTCCAAGGTTCTTGGTGGTGGCGCTCTCTGCTCTCAGGGCCCAGCGCATGCTTGTTGCTGGAGCTTTTGAAGATACAGATGGGCCAAGGTAAGGATATTGAATCACTTCCAAATATAGTGACTACTATTATGTCAAGATTGTTGGAATAAAGTGGTGTTAAGTACTCCTCAAAGATGAGAATTTAAGGAGATGCCTAGCTATACCTAAATACATAAGCTATTTGTAAGTATACTGGTAATTACTAGAATAATTAACAAAACTTTTGGGAAAAAATTTTAAAACCTTTCTCATACCACTCAGTAGAATAAATTCCAGCTGGGTTAGAAAATTAAATGCAAAAGAATGGAAATCTAAAATACAGTTGATAGTTATCTGATTTTGGGGTGAGTGAAGGACTTTTTAAGCATAAAAGCAAAAGAAGTCATAAAAATGCTGAAGCATTGGGACTCTTCATGTGGGGAGAGCATCATTTTGTGCATGAGTGAATCTATAAGTACTTTCAATTCACTTGCTTTTCCTTAAAAGCTTCTAGAGAAATAGTCCCTCTTGCTGTGTCTTTCTTTGGGCAGAAGTTCTTACCAATTGATGTGTAGTCAGAATTCTTTCGGCTTAGTATAAACTTTTTCCTCTTTATACCTCTTCTCAGTGAAAATGAAACTGACTTTTTTTTTTTTTAATTCCTTTGGTTGTTCGAAAACTGCAGTGAACTCTTAAGTCTCTTGTTCTCTTGCTGGATGTGGTCCCAGTGGCCTTTCTGGGAACTCTAGGCCCTCTCTAAAGTTCATATTTCACTTCTTTTTTGAAGTTCCCATAAAGAATAGCTTATTGTTAACATTGCACTTGTTAGTGAAATGATCAGATCTACTTTGCAGAGATGAAAATTTGCGTTCCTAATGATTCAAAAGTAGATATCTGATGTAACCATTGGGCCATGGGAGGGAGGGCAACAAAAAAAGGTCATCATGGCCAGAGAGTCACCTAATCTCTAATAACAGAACATTATAAATTTCCATTGAATTTGATTTTATTTATTTCTATCATAAGGAACAATTGGGTTTCTTTGAGGATTAAATTATTTATTCACTCACTGTTCCTTAATCCAGCTCCCTGATTGAAAAAATTCACAGATGAATTGCTTAAGTTATTTGGTGGATTGTTTAGTATATTTTCATTTTTTTACTCTTATTTCACCAATGGAAACGTAATCAAATTCAGGTAACTTGGTTTGTAACCCTACCTTTCTGGGCCCCAGATTCTTCATTGGTAGGTGGCAGTAATGCCTGTCATACTTACAGATATGGAAACATGAAACCTAAAGCAATGGGTAACATTTATTTTCCTACTAAATATCTTTTTTTTGTTTTGAAAATTACAAAAATTGGAACAATGCCTAAATTAAGATAGGGTAATTATATGTTGCCATCTAGTTATTTCTTCTCTCAATTGTTAGGAAGATTTTTTTTTTATGTGAAACTACTTGTGGTAGATTTTACAAGCTATAATCGGGATAAGCACTATTACATCATCCTGAAAAGCAAGCAGCAAGTTACCAATGGGCCTACAAAAGGCCATTGTCATTTTCTCAAGAGAAGTAAGATTCAGTTTTTTTATGATGACATCGAGATTGTAGAAATGATGAAAGATGAAAAAGTTATTCTTTTAGCTTCTGTTTAGCAAATGAAATGAATCCAAATAATAAACTA